CAAACATAAATTTATTCTTTTAAAGTTTAGGAGGCTAGAAGGCTAAAAGTCTGAGTTCAGAGTGCCAGCTTTAGGGGTTGGGCTTCAGTTCTGCCTTCCAGGCCCACTGGAGCAAGCTAGAGGCTGCTCCTGACTCACTTAGCTAAAGGGGCTGACAAACTCAAGATTGGCAGGCAGTATACCAGGCTGCAGATAGTTGGCTCACAGGCTGTGAAGGCAAAAATCCCAAGATCAGCAGGCAACATGGCAGGTCCAAGCCCAGGAACTGGAGATGATGACTGGTCTAATGCAAAATCCTTCCCATATATACTGAAAGCAGTCCACACTTGCTCAAAGGCAACTCCCCTTCAAATGATTAACTGCTCACAGCAGATTCCACCATAGAAGTGATTACACCACATGCAATCTCATCATAGCTGCCAAGCCACACAAAATCATGGCCCAGCCAAGTTGACACACAACCTTAACTACTACAATAGCCAAGTGCTTAACCATTTGTGCCACCAGGGCTCCTACAAATCAGTTTAAAAGTTACTAAATATTTACTATCAATTCTGTCCTTATCTCATCAGGAACATTTTGAGTAGCACTTGGCTAGACTGTTTGCAAAGATGCCTGGCTCCTGCCCCTAAAATCTTAACATCTAAGTTGGAAGTTTTAACAAGGACACACATAAAAATAATAAACAAGCTCATCATGTATTCAGAGCACAACTTGGCAAGAAATCAATAAACCATTGTATTTAGGTACACGCACAGGCAAAGTAAATCGATGGGGCAGTGAATGAGGGGGTATAGAATTGTATTTAGACACAAATCATTTGTGTGGCACCTCAAAACTAATCTAGGAAAGTTTTAGAGAAAAGTGTGATTTCCAGAGGCTGTTCAAACCAAAGTTGGCTGGGATGGGTTGGGAGAAGACAGAGAAAAGAGAAGAAGAAGAGACCTCCCATAAACAATGTTTACAGATTTTCGTTTACCTAAATACTTAATTAAAAGCTTCCATAACGTCCCAATAGATTGTGGTCACTCCTCCTACCCCATTTACTCATTATCTCCTTGAGTCACTACCAGGCGTCTGTCTCCACAGTAGTATTGGGAACCTTCCCAAGAAATATGAGCTTCTGAGTAATCACCCAATATCCCAAACCCTAGGGATGAGTCTACTCTCTGTAACTTAAAAACAGAATTGGAGTTTACACTATTAATCAAAAGTTTTGTCATATTGTCACTAATGAAATATTAGAATTAATGGGCAAAATGTTCTTGTATTTTAATGACAGACATAACACTCCCAAATGAATATACAGCTTCAACTCAGTAGTGGGATTTTTAATTGCTTTTTAGAGATCTGATCTTTGAAGTCTCTTCAGTGAAATCACTTCTTTGGAACCAGAATGAATAAACTCAGAAGGTAGTAAAGAATGGTGAAGATTCTCCTTCTTCTGTTCTTCATATTCTAGACCACTGGAATCCCGGTTTCTAAAATGCTGAGCAGAATCAAGACAAAACCCAATGTAAGAGCAAATGAAGAACTATATATCCTGGCAAGAAGAAAAGAAGGCATTTTTGTCTCTTGGAACAAATCAACATGTATCTTTGTAATGGTCACTCTTGACATGGCTCTCCCAGGATGCTCCTGCAACTCACTCTCCCTGAAAACCCCCAACACCTCAGTGAGCTGATGCTACTACAGTATCAAAGGAGCTATACTAACACAACTTCTAGGAGAGTAGCAATTTTTTGTTATTCGGGTGAGTAAATTCAATTCAGTTTAAAAATTATTCAGTGAGTTCTTACAATGTGGCAGGAACTGAGCCAAGTACTGTAGTTAAAGAAATAAATAAAATACAAATTCTTCTTTTAAAGGGCTCACGCTACAATCTGACCATAGGATCTTATTTCTGTCCTCATTTATGGAATTCTTCTTTCTACTCTCAAGAAAAGAAAAACACCCAACCTGGCCAATTTGTCATGGGTGCTACTTCCTGAGTGAGGACTCATTTAAAAATAATAATAGCTAATAAGGAGATCTGGTGGCATAGTGGGTAAGGCATTTGGCTGCTAACCAGAAAGTTGGTGGTTCAAACCCACCAGCTTCTCCTCAGGAGAAAGATGAGGCAATCTACTTCTGTAAAGATTTACAGCCTTGGAAAGCCAATGGGGTCGTTATGAGTCACAATTGACTCAGTGACAGTGAGTTTTTTTTGCGGGGGATCTTTCTGAATAGCTCAGGGAATAGGAACAATACTCTAAACATGCCCTCATTTTAGTATTAAAGATGAAATGAGTCTTCCTGGGAAGTATGTCCTGCATAGGAGGTGGGATGAGGAAGGCTCTCCTTGGAGAACTTATGTGAAGAAAAGACTTGAATACTTCCCAAAATATTGCTAGAAAGATCCAAAAGCTGTAGATATATGTGTGAGTATTTCCACATATGTCTATTAAGTTTAGAAAGATGCTGGCCTGCACAGTGCTAAAACACTGAATTATTCAATATAGATAGATGATAGATAGATAGATAGTTTGGCAAGGTTTAATCCAACCATGTAAACAAAAAAGTGTGTTCTTTGTTTTCCAGCTACTTATACTGGAAATTGTTTGGGGATCTTTAAGGCTATAAAATGGTGTGGACTGTAATTCAGACTAAGTCTTCATGATTAAATCTGTTACCATTGTAATGTGAAACTTTTGTATCCCTTGAAAAACTATGGATTTCATCCCTGAAAGACTACTAGGAAACTAGGGCTGTGGTGTCACCGACACATCAAGGCTAGATCATCTGCTTCTGCCTTAGTCCTGTAACTCTACTCCAAGGACTCCCTTACCTGTTTTCTTATTCTAAACCTAGGAGTAGTTCCTGAATGAAAAGGAGCTTTCTAATTCTCATTAGAGGTAATCAAGGGTCTCCCTGAAGAATCACCCTCCATAATGAGTGGAAACAATCTTAGTTAGAAGTTTAGCAGCACCAAGTTTGCCCATGACTATGATTTCTATTCAGAGTCTACTTATCCTGTGTCAGATTTTTTTTTGAGGATTCTGTTATAATCTCTTACCCTGCCTCCTGAACTCCCTGCCCATCAAGGTCTTCTGCCTTTGAAGACATGGAGTACATCCTAGGTAGATAATTTAGAGAGATTGCCTACACCATTAATTTGGATAGTACTTCCTGCCACCTGGCTTCTAAGACAAACCTCTCCATCTCTTGCCAAGGCATGGCATCTGTGTCATAAGTCTGCAACTATATACCACAGACACTCAAAACCCTGCTTGTAACTAGAAATTGATGGGACTCCTACAGATGATCTGGGAAAAGATCTTGATCGAAATTATGTGCTAGTGTCATTGCATTCCTATTAGATAGAACCAGACCAAAGTAAAAAAAAAAAATTTGAATGGACCAAGAAGGATGAAAACATTTTTTTTCAGGTTCTAAAATAATCCACATATCCTTTCTTCACCTTCTTTCCATGCATAGTGCAAAAAAAAAAAAAAAAAAAGCCAGACGTTAGAATTCATTCCTCCCAAGCTGCAAGGAATTAATAAGACTGAATGCCATGAGGTGCTGGTTGTCATCTCTCATCACAGGCTTTTTACCCTCAAACATTTGTTTCCTTCAGCCAACTTCACACAGTTCCAGTCTAATCAATTTCTTGTCATTGGGTAAGACATTATAGCCACAAAACCAGTCTCAATTCATTCAACAAACGTATAATGAATCCATATTTTGTGACATGCACCTTGCTAGGTAGTGAAGATAAGGCAGTAAAGGGGATAATCAGGGTCTCATCCTCCCAAAACTTACAGTTTAGTAGGGAAACAGACATTAAATAATCACACAAACTTATAAATACAAACAGTGATCAAAGCTACTCGGGAAAAACTCAGGGAGCTATGAAGGACTGTAACAAAGAGAGCTGATTTACACTAGGGGATCGGGGAAGGCTTCTCAAAGGAAGTTCCTTTTAAACAGAGACATTAAGTTTGGCTAGGAGTGTTCACGCACAGAAGAGTAGGAAGAATATGTTCTCCAAGAGAACACAATGTGCAAATACCCTAAGGTGAGAACAAGCTTGAAGTGCTTCATAAAGACTGTATGGCTGGAATATGGTGAGCACAAGAGGAGAGAGTACAAGATAAAGTTACGGTCCAATCGTTTAGAGTCTAGTAGGTCACAGTAAATAAGTTAGATTTCATTCCACGTGCAATTGGAAGCCTTTAAATGGATGTAAGCATGGGAATACATGGTCATATTTATGTGTGTCTTTGTAAAAGATTATCCCAACTGCTGTGTGGAGAATAAACTATAGGGAGGCAAGAACGAATGTAGGGAGACCGATTAAGCAGCTTATGTTTTAGTCTAGATGGGAGATGATGTGGCTCTGATGAGATAAGGATTGCTTGTGGATATGGAGAGATGTGGGTTAATGTGAAATATACTTAGTAGGTAATTGATTGGATATGTTGTTGTTGTTGTTATGTGCCATCAAGTCAGGCCCAACTCATAGCGACCCCTCCTTGGGTTTCCAAGACTATCACCATGGAAGTAGATTGCGATATAGGGTAAGGAATAAGTGAGAGTGAACTGGGCATATATTTTATGTCATTGATATGAACCAGCTAAAGACAATTTTCTGGCTAACGTCCACAGCACGAGAGAACAATGAGCAAGTCTGTGAATCAGGGGTCTGATTACATTTCAGCAGCATGTTTTCCTTTAAGAAAGTATTCAAGGTGCATTTGAGGTCAAGTTGAACCCCTCTCCATTTAGACTAGGAAATTAAGACTCAAAGTTTGTACTGGTTTGCAAATTAATCTTGTGCTGTGTATGAATGTCTTACCCCCCAACATAGAATGTAAAGTTTCAAAAGGTGTCAGTTGGTTTGTCAACATCTCCTAATAGCACCTGGTATAGGACTGAGGACATGGCAGACACTCAATAAATGCTTCCCAAATTAAAATGAATTGAATTTCTTCTTTTTTCTCAGCAGATAGAACAAAATGGATATTCTGGTTACTGATAATGACAGTGAAGTGACAGAGTTCATCCTGGTGGGTTTGTCCAATCACCCAAAATCCCAGCTTGCCTTTTACTGCACCCTGGTAGTGGTCTACCTGATCACATTGTTAGGAAACAGTCTCATTATTGCTGTGGTTACAATTTATGGGAGACTTCACACCCCTATGTATTTCTTCCTAAGCAATCTATCCTTCCTCGATATCTGCTACTCCAGTAATTCAGTGCCTTTTGTGTTGGTCAATGGCCTGAGAGACTACCCCACTATCTCCTATACCAGCTGTTATGCCCAAATGAGCATCACTCTTTTTCTGGGAATGACCTAGTGTCTCCTCCTTGCTGTCATGGCTTATGATAGGTTTGTTGCAATCTCCAGTCCCCTGCGCTACACCATCATTATGAACAACCGGGTCTGTATACAGTTGGCCTTGGGAACCTGGGCCAGTGCCTTCTTAGTTGCAGTCACGCCCATTATTGCAATTCCTGCTCACTATTGTGGGCACAATGTTATCAACCATTTCACATGTGAGATCCAGGCCCTATTAAAACTTGTCTGCTCGGATACCCCACTTGATATGATTCTGGGTCTTGTTATCAGCGTATTCACATTGCCCCTGCCCTTCACCTTGATCCTCATCTCCTACACTCGCATTGCGGTTGCTGTGTTGAGGATCCGTTCTGCAGAGGCCAGGCTCAAAGCCTTCTCTACCTGTGGATCCCATCTGACTGTGGTCACCATATTTTATGGGACAGCCATCTATATGTACTTGAAACCTCAGTCAAAGGAGTCTCAAGACCAGGGTAAAATCATCTCTGTATTTTATGGTATTGTGACGCCTATGTTGAATCCCCTTATATACACTTTGAGAAACAAAGATGTCAAAAATGCCCTAAGAAAATTAATTAGAAAGAAAGAGCACTAAAAAGGACCTGAATATCAAATGGAAGCTCATCTAATCAGCAGGTTGTCATTGACTTGTAATAATAAGGTAGAAATATTAAAGAATATTTTAGTAAGGTAATTAGTTTCAAATGCATTTCTTTTCTTTCCAACAAGCATGGAGGAAAACAGCATCCTTCCACTGAGAAAAACCTGTTAAATTTTCACAATGCCATCCATTTTAGTGGTAAGTTATACAGGACAATCTTGAGGGAGAGTTTTTAAAGCAAAATAATAATTAGTACATTTTCATCCTTGAGTATTTTGATTTTATTTTACTACATAAGAGGAATTCCAACATTCTAAGATTCTCTTTTATAGGTCCTAAGGAAAAAAGTTGCAAAAAAAGACAATGCTTTCCGCATGAGTCCTGACCCAGGCTTGGAAGTGATGGATGTGAATAGATAAAGAGAGGAAAATTACTCAACTGCTATATAACATTGCTCTCATAGAAAGCCCTCTGCTGAAGCAAGGAGTCCTTCAGGCTTGTGTAGATCTTGAGGGCCGGAACTGCTGACCCTATGGAATCTGCAACTGTATCTCTTGATCAGTGGATATGGCCATATTTTCTTTGTCAATGTAGACAACCCCTGGATAATTGCCCGCAACTTCCATAGATAGTGGCCTCGTAAATATAGACCAAATTTAACTCTAGGAGGAACTCCTTACAAAAATAAACAAACATGAAATGCTTTTTTAATATTATAAAAATTACAGCATTTATTATTTAAAAATAGATGGGAAGTAGACAAGAAATTAAAAACCACCTGTAACCACAACACTTTCAGAAACTTATATAGATTTTGGAGTCAGGCAGACATGAATTTAAGTATGCTGCTCAGAGTTGTAAGAAGCTCTGGTGGCACAGTGCCTAAGGCATTTGACTGCTAACCAAAAGGTTGGTAGTTCAAACCCACCAGCTGCTCTGTGGAAGGAAGTTAGGGCAATCCACTGTCCAGTTGTATGGGATTTAGCTTGTTACTTGCTGTATTTAATTCCTTTTCCTCATCTGTAAAATGGGGATAACATGAGTGTCCGCCTCACAAAGTTACTTTGAGAATTAAATGAGATAATGCATGTTGAGCTTCTATCACAGTGTCTGGCACATGGTGGATGCTGGATACATGTAACCCAAGACATAAAGCAAGTTGTCCATTCACCCTCTATAATCCATACTCATCAGCATTATATGAGTATTCATTTACTTATATTCCATGACAATAGGTCAGGCTGTAAAATTTTTTCTTGTTACCTTAATTTGAATTTCTCTGATTACAAAGGAGGTTGGATATGTTTCTCACGTTCATTGGTAATTTGTATTTCAAAAATCATGATCTTTGAAATTGGGTTAGAATGACAGTGAACCAGTCTAATTTTAGAAAAAAAGGAAATGCTATTCTCAGTGAATAATAAAAAAGACTCAAAATTTCTTTCTCCCTTGATTGACTCCACCCATATTTCCAGATATGACCTGAGAGGCAGACCCCTAGTTTGAGCCATTCTTTTTTCCTTTAGGAAGCACTCTTGGGACTGATATCCTATTGGACATCAAAAGAAGCTGACTGGAGACTTTTGTAAATGCAAATAGAAATAACAAAGAACTCTTTAGAAGGAGAATCAATGGTGCTATGCAAATTTTGTTGTAAAGAAACTAAACCTTGAAAAATTCTTGCATAGAATTTATTTCTGGTGTTTTCTAATCCCCATTTAACCTAAAGTACTCCTGAAACTCGAAGGAAAGTAATATTAATTAACTAACCAGACACAATGAGTAGATAAAGTCAAACACCAGAGGGATGAGAACAAATGTGATTCCTCAAAACCAAAAACCAGAAAAAACAAACAAAAAGAAACTCACTGCCCTGGAGTCAGATCCAACTCATACTGACTCCTCCTTGAGTTTCTGAGGAGGCTGTATCACTTGAGAAGTAGTTGCCCAATCTTCCTTTCTAGGAGTGGCTGGTGGGTTTGAACCGCCAGCCTCGTGGTTAACAGTCAAATGCCTTAGGCCACCAAGGAAGGAAAAAAATGGGGAGTAAAATTGAAACCTCATACAGATTGGAGTTTGAAGATTTTCGTTAGGGACTAAGAAGAAGTAGAGAAGAAAACAGCAGAGAGATGTGCCTTGCGCTGACAGAGAGAAATTTATTGGGAAGAGTCAGGGGCCTTTTTTAGCAACAAGAGAAAATTAGATAGGTAAACCAATATCTTCCCTTTTGGTTACCTCAGGAAGAAGTTAGACAGGGTTATCTCTTTAGAGAGAGAAATATGTGACATCTGGAAATGTAGAAAAAGCTGCAAAAAGGTTTCTGACATGAAGTCAAGACTCTGAATGAACAGAAAGTGTAAGAGATTCTGTTAAAAGAACACCTAATCTGGAATGGGTGCGTGAGGTGTCTATATTAAATGTTTATTGTGAAGGTTGTCTTCTTCAAACATGCCTTGTATTACTAAATAAGTGAGTTCAGGTTGTAACAAATAGATAATATTTTGGAAGTAAGCTGTGCCTTGAGAAACTTGCTTAAATTTCTAATCTCTGCCAAACAGCACTTAAGACTCGCAGCTGATAATGGGCAACTCTCTCTCTCTGTGTACACCACCTCCTCATAACGTGTGCCGAAAACACAAGGCCACGTCTTAGAAGGTTGAACTGACCCCTTGCAAATCAACATCACTGAGAAAAGAGTTTTGTGCTGTGTACTGGCCACAGTCAAGTGAAGAAAATGCACTCGAGAGCCATAACCATGACTTTGCCTGGAAGTGTTTCAAAAAGAAATTAAACGTTTTCAAAAGGCTAAAAAGATACCACTGTTTTTGAGTTTGTCAACAATCCATGTACTGAGTAGTAAGAAAATAAAAGTCAATTACCCACAAAATGCTCTTTGGGCTTTTACAAAGTCGTGAAGGCAGAACGATTAAATCTACCATTTTTATCATATGTAAAGCAGCACAGAAAAAGTGTTCATTTGTTCCTGTAGTTTCTTTGTTGTTGTTCCAATTAGAAGAGTCACCAGATAAAGTTTTCCACTAACACATTTGAATCATTTACCCTGTGTGCACGTATCTGCATGCACACATATCTAAACACACAGATAGGCACACATAGTCTTTATTGTCCCAAAGACATGGACTGAAAGCCGGACTCAACCCCTTTTTAGCTGTGCAATCTTGAACAAGTTATTTTAACCTCTCTGACACCCCTATCCTCATCTGTGGGGTGGAGACTACAGGCATACCTCGTTTGATAGGATTTCACTTTATTGCACTTCACAGATATTACATGTTTTACAGACTGAAGGTTTGTGGCCCCCCTGCATGGAGCTAGTCTATCAGCACCATTTTTCCAACAGCATGTGCTTGCTTTGGGTCTCTGTATCGCATTTTGGTAATTTTCACAATGTTTCAAACTTGTGTGTATTGATATTGCACACTTAAGAGACTACAATATTATGTAAACATAATTCTTCTATATGCACTGAGAAACAAAAAATTCCAGGTGACTCACTTCACTGCAAAAGCCACTTTATTGCAGTGGTTTGGAACTACTGCACCCACGGTAGATTTCAGGTATTCCCGGATAGTAGTCTCTACTTCATCAGGTTGCTATGAAGATTCTATAGAATATTGAGCACAGTGTTTGGAAAATTGTATGCACCTTCAGATGTTACTGGTTGTAACTATTCTTAGCAGCAGCAGCAGCAATGTTGTATGACGGTGCTACCTGAGATGCCTGTACCTTGAAAGACCTTATTTATCGTGTGTGCAGGAAAGTTATCTCAATTTTCTTGACTGAAGCTCATATCTGGAACTATCGAGAGCATATACACGCATTTGTGTGCAACTAGATTTAAGTGTTGGAGGATATTTCACACTGCCTCTTTTCATTCCTTAATTCATTTATTCAGTCAATATTTAGTGAATATCTTCTATGTATTAGACAGTTTGCTACTGCTGGGGATCTACAGTGAATAATAAAAGGTGTCTGAACTCAAGGACTAAACAATTTAATGGAAATACAGATATTAAACAAGTACGCACATATAGAAACAAATAAGGAACTGGAACAAAGAATAATGAGTGTGACCTATTTTGGATAGGACTGTAAAAGCTGTCAAAAGAAGTGATATTTAAGCTGAGACTAAAGGATTCATATTAAATGCTTATTGGGAAAGTTAAAGAGTGAAGAAATGAATGTTCTAGAATAAGGAAACAATTACAAAAGACTTGAAGAAAGAAAGAAAGAACTAGACATATTTAAGGAACAGACAAAAGACAAGTGTGGTTAGAGCTCAGTGAGCAAGGAGGTGGGGGTCAGGTGATCCAACATCCATTCATTTCTTCCTCCAACAAAAACAGCTAAATACCAACACATATACACATGAGAACACATACACATACATACTCACATACGTATGAAGAGAGAGAGAGACAAAAACTATTCTGTGTGCCAGATATTATTCTACACTTTTGGAATGCTTCACTGAATCAAAGAATACCTACACTTAGGAAGTTATCCTATAGTGAGGTGAATAGACCATGAAAATAAATTATACGTTGTTATGTGCCATTGAGTCGGACCCGACTCATAGCAACCCCTCCTTGAGTTTCTAAGGCAGTATGACTACGGAAGTAGATTGCCCCATCTTCCTTCCGAGGAGTGGCTCGTGGGTTTGAACCTCCAGCCTTCTGGTTAACAGTCGAATGCCTTAGGCAATACGCTACCAGAGCTCCTAAATTATATAGTATTTTATAAAAATAAAATCACGGTAACAGGGATAATGAAGGACAGACAGGAGAGAGGTATGTTTCCAATAGGATGATTAGGGAAGGCCTACCTGAGAATTTGGAACTTGAGCCAAGAGCAAAACAACCATGTGTATATGTAGGAAAATAAAATTCCAGGCAAAATTTCTATGGCAGGAGCAAGTTAATATATTTGAGGAACCCCAAGGAGGCCACTGTGGCTGCAGAGGTATGAACAAA